TGCTGAACCACACACAAAATTCGGATCTGCATGTTGCTATAATAAAAGGTACTAGAAAAATGCACAAAAAGGCCTTTACATCCATTGTCCCACTATGTGTCACTCAAATCATTTTTCACCATCCCATAGGAACTATATTGTGAATCTAAACACTATCTCTGCTCCTAACACTTTATCTGAGGCATTGACTAAAAGTGAATGGAGAAATGCTATGAGAGAGATGGACGCATTGGAGAAAAACAAGACATGTGAGATTGCTGATCGACCAAAATGAAAGAACCTGGTGGGTTGCAAATGGGTCTTCACTTTAAAATACAAAGCTGATGGATCTCTTGAGAGATATAAGGCGAGGTTGGTTGCTAAGGGCTATACTGAAACTTATGGGGTTGACTATTAGGAGACGTTCGCTCCCGTGGCTAAAATGAACACAGTAAGAATTTTATTGTCATTAGCTGCTCATTACAACTGGGAATTGCAACAATATGATGTAAAGAACGCCTTCTTACACGAAGGCCTAAAGGAAGAAATATACATGAATATTCCACCGGCCTTTAAGGAAAAGAGACTGCCAACAAAGTGTGTAGACTTAGAAAGGCTCTATATGGACTCAAGCAATCCCCTAGAACCTGATTTGGGAGATTTGCTAAAGTGATGAATAACAATGGTTATAGACAGAGTCAAGCAGATCACACACTCTTTATCAAGCACTATGACTCAAGGGTAGTGACAGCTCTTTTAGTATATGTTGATGACATAATTGTTACTGGAAATGATGAGAAGGAGAAACAAGCCTTGAAGCAGCGCCTAATCAGGGAATTCGAGATAGAACTTGGAAGACTAAAATATTTCCTTGGGATTGAAGTTGCATACTCAAGACAGGGCATCTTTATATCGCAACAAATTTATGTGACTGATCTTCTGAAGGACACAGGAAAACTGGGTTGCAAACCAACAATATCCCATTGATGCCAATCATAAACTCAGAAAAGCAAAAGAAGATCCAATTGTAGATAGAGGGATGTACTAGAGATTGGTAGGGAAGCTCATTTATCTTGCTCATACTCATCCATACATAGCATGTTCAGTAAGTGTGATTAGCCAGTTCATACATGATCCGAGAGGAGCACATTGGCAAGCTGCATACCAAGTATTACACTACTTGAAAGGTAGCCCAGGAAAAAGAGTTTTGATCAAAAGAAATGCTTGTCTCACACTAGAAGCCTATATGGATGCAGATTATGCAGGGTCATTGGTAGACAGAAGATCTACTTCTAGCTACTGAACATTCCTTGGAGGCAATCTGGTAACATGGAGGAGTAAAAAGCAAAATGTGGTAGCCAAGTCCAATGCAGAATCAGAATTTAGAGCAATGGCACAAGGAGTATGTGAATTATTGTGGATGAAGATTATCCTGGACGACCTAAGAATCAAGTGGGAAGAACCTATGAAGTTGTATTGTGACAATATGTCAGCAATTAACATCACCCACAATCCAGTTCAACACGACAGAACAAAACACATTGAGATAGATAGACATTTCATCAAGGAGAAACTGGAATGTGGATTGATCTGCACACCGTATGTATCCACGGGAAATCAATTGGCGGATGTTTTAACAAAAGGACTTGTCACAAAAAGGATTCTTATTTTCTGTTATTATGAATTGATATTACACCGGTATTATATAGTAGATTACAAGAGAAATAATAGGAAACTAAATCATTCCCAAATCGGGAAACTGCCTAACCGAATCCCTCAATTTAAGGGATTTCAAACTGATTCTCCTAATCTATTTACAGCTAATTTACACATCAACAGGACTCGATAGTACAATTTTTCATGGGATTATTTTCAAGCTGGGAATGGAAAACATCTATTATTTCAGCCGAGGGGGTGGCAGCTGATGAGAGGAAGATCGAAGCTATGCTGAATTGGCCAGCCCCCAAGACACTGCGGGAGTTGAGGGGTTTCTTGGGTCTTACTGGATATTATCGTAAGTTTGTCAAGCATTATCGGATGGTGGCTGGCCCTTTGACTACGCAACTCAAGAAGGATCAGTTTGGCTGGAATCAAGAGGCCGAGGAGTCGTTTGTGGCATTGAAGAAGGCCATGACTACGGTTCCGGTGTTGGCTTTACCGGATTTTTCTCAGCCATTTGTGGCTGAGACGGATGCCTCCGGCTATGGACTAGGGGCTGTGTTGATGCAAAATGGTCGTCCAATTGCCTTTTACAGCCATGTTTTGTCCCCTCGAGGTAGGGCACGTTCCATTTACGAGCGTGAGTTGATGGCAATCGTCTTGGCCGTGCAGAAATGGCGACCATATTTGCTTGGAAGACGTTTTATCGTTCGCACCGACCAACAGAGCTTGAAGTTTCTATTAGAGCAGCGACTGATTAGTACTGAGCACCAAAAGTGGGTTTCTAAATTGTTAGATTAGTACTGAGCACCAAAAGTGGGTTACTAAACTGTTGGGATATGACTTTGACATCCAATACAGGCCAGGCATAGAGAATAAGGCTGCTGACGCGCTTTCTCGGGTGGAAGGAGTGACCTCGTTATGCACACTATCGTTTGTACACGGTTTGGATTATGGCGTGATACAGCAACAGGTGTTGTCGGATTCCCGTCTAATGGGCGTTTATCAGGCTTTGTTGCAGGGGGACACCAGCTATCCGGGTTTTTCGTTGGACCAGGGCCGGCTTTTGTACAAGGGTCGGCTAGTCTTGGCCAAATCTTCCCCGTTGTTGGCTGCCCTATTACAGGAGGCGCATGATGGCCCGGTTGGCGGGCACTCGGGGGTGTTCAAAACTTACCGTCGCTTAGCTTCTTCTTGGTATTGGGTAGGCATGTTCAAGGAAGTTAAGGAGTACGTCGGTCGTTGTACGGTTTGTCAACGCAACAAGCATTCCAATTTGTTACCCGCGGGGCTTTTACAACCTCT